CCGCCGCTCGACGCTAGACCATTATTCGTCGGGTTGGAGAGTGTTCTTGACAGATTTGACAACAAAGGTAAAATAAACAGTTGCAAAAATGGATCTGCGGAAATCAGATCTGCTTAGCTACTGGTCTATATATATACAAAAAGTACCCATTAGACGCTGCTCTTGTTCGTTGGCTGGGCTACTACTTCAATCTACGCTTCGTTAGGCTTGGTCGGCTTACCGGACGAATATGAGAACATCTGTATGAATGACACTCTGGGAAACTAGTAAGTAAATGCCAAATTGTATATTTTTCAGAAGGTATCTCGCCAAAAGAGTCTACTCGCCTCTTTTTGTCTATTTCTGAAGCAAACGGGTCGGTGCAATGTGTTCCTCCATACAAAGCACGAAGCGAATCCAATCAACATAAAGTTCCCACCCGTGCGCCTCGCTCAGGCACTCCGACCACTGATCATACACGACATCTACCGTACTCTCATCCACTTCTGTCCATATGCAGTTCTCTCCTCCTTGAAAAACCCACTTGACGTCACTCTGCGATCCTGCCGCTTCTCGTGCGTTTGCTTCAGAGTCCACGATCATGATGCAGTGCTTAGCCATCTGTCTCCCATCTGGGAGTACTGACACCCTGTTTTGCACGGCAGCGATGTACCGAAGATGGACGTCGCCTGGAATGTTCCACACCACAACACCGTCTTGCTTCACAAACTTCTGAAGTGGTTGGCAGTAGGAATCACCGCGCTGCTCAAGCCCCCAGCTCCGAGGTGAAATAATTCTTGGCCACTGACTGATGTCGATACGTTCTAAAGTCTGGCAAGCTTCTGGCAGCGAGCAACGAAGGCGTTTCGAGAATCGTGCATGCGCTATCGTAGTGCCCGACGCTTGTTGAAACGGCGGCACGTAATCCACTGACCAGCCAAACATGTTGTCGATGAAAGAGATGAATAGGTGGCGCTCGGTAAATTCAACCTCGCGCTGTTTCAACTTGTCCAGGTACTCGTCCTCGGGAATCGGATGGGAGAAGAATGGCGGCTCTCCATTTCGGGGAAGTGCACCCACACCCTTCGCTGTCTAAAGCGAGTTGACTCGAGGTCGCCTTTACCTTGGACACTTGGTGTAGTTCGCGTCTAAACTGGTCCTGTTTCGCGCTTGAGCT